ACTTAATACATTTGAAGAGAATATTTCTCTCAACCTCAGTCTAGATCCTTATCCAAAGTAGCCAGCCTTAGAACTGCAATCAAAAAAGTGTTAAAAAACAATATTCTGAAAAAACAAGTACAATGTCCAACTAAATCAAGAAAACTTTTCCCTAAATTGGACAAAGCCATAAAATAAGTAAAAAATGCCTTCAAAGATATAAGAAATAACAAGCATCCAACAAAGTTAAAATCAATGGCTAAAACCCTAAATAAGAACATTATAAAATCATCTCTCACCAACAAATTGCTTAGAAAAATCTTCAAGATGCTAATAGTAGAAAAGCAAAAGCAAATAACCTCAACATTACAAGCTAATATACAAACAACAGTGAAAGAAAACTTTGCCAAGTTCTGGAACAGCCCCAGCCAATATATCAAAATTGCCCTAGGAGACCTAATACCCTCTCTCTATTTATCCATATTACATAATGGAATACAACTGCAGGATAACCCAGATATCCTAGTAGAATTAATTGTCACATATTACAGACAACTCCTTTTAACAAAAAAATTTACTCTTGATGAATCATGGAAATCAGAATATCTCTCTAGAGAAAACATTCAAAACAATATATACAACAGTCTACTATTAAATATATCTTTCTCAGAAATGAAAACAGCTATATTATCCTTACCACAGATAAAGCACCTGGAGCAAGTAAAATTCCTTATTAAACTTGGAAACATATTGGAACTGAAGCTCACAAAGCCTTACTCAAGATTTTAATAATATAATAAGAATAAGAAATCTGTCAAAAGCTTGGAAGCAATCAATTGTTACCCTCCTATCTAAGAAGCTGGTTTAGTCCCACAATCTGTCTGACACCAGACCAATAGCCATACTGGAAACAAATCACAAAGTGTTTATCAAAATCCTCAACACTAGACTAGCAACCATCCTCAGTGAAAACAATATTTTATCTTCATCAATTATGTAGGAATGAAGGATCAGAGCACAATGGAATCTATCACCATAATCAGATTATCAATCAATACTCGTACATCTCTCAATCAAAAATACTAGCTAGCTTTCTTTAATATATCAAAAGCTTATGACTCAGTAAACCTCAATAGCCTAGAAACAGCCATGAAAAGGATCAAGAGTCCACAAAACTTTATTAGAATCATCACAATTCTGCTTCAAAACCAATTATTATGATTTATCTCACATTAAAATATCATCCATCCAGTAATAGTTTCTCAAGGTTTGGACCAGAATAAAATGATTGCTCCACTTCTGTGAATAATATTTTATGATCTAGTAATAACGAGAATCCAAAGTACCCTAAAGAAGAATGATAAAGTTTTTGTATATATAGATGATGTGGCCATACTCATCAAAAAAATCGAAGATTTACAAGTTGCTACTGATACCTTTACCTACTTCTTGAAACTAAATCACATAACTTGCAACAAATTGAAGACTGAACTCATAACAAATAATTTAAGAAAAAGCAATGAGAGGAAGAAGAAATTAAAAGTTAAAGATCTATTTATTTCACTAAGAGTTCTTGATCATGGAATCAGATATTTGGAAGTATATCTTAGTGGCAAATCCCCAAAGAGAGCTACATACAAAAATTTGACAACCAAAATCAACAATTTCACAAAATGTATATCAGAGCAAAGAGCTTGGAATGGATCTATAACCAAAAAAGTAATACAGTGGATCATATCCACTCAGCTTGAATTTGCTCTACAGGTTACGTCCACTAGGGAAAGTGAGGGACAAAAATTACAGACTCTATATAATAAGTCAATTAAAAGCAAGCTTGGTGTAGAGAGAACCCTGTCCAATAAAGCACTTCTTTTACCACTGGATCTAAATGTAGTTTCACTTGAAGACCGAAGGAAACAAACTCTAATCAAACTGCTAGTCTCTGCTCTAATAGCAGCAAAATATTACCAGTAATAAAACAAGAAGTTACAGTAATCCAAGCTAGCACAGCCATATGGACATGCCTTTATGCCAACCTCATTATTTCAAACAATCATGGCTTGTAGAAGTATCCATGATAACCTTGAGACATTACATAAAGATTTACTCTCACTCATGTCCTTTTGATATGAAAGAAAGTGACATGTCAATTGGACTGCACTTCACATTAGATAAAATAATGGCACTAAACCTATCAAGACAAGGCATCAGAAACATAAGGCAGCTTCTCAAATACAATAGCAATAAACATAACACATGGAATAAATTCTAGACCAAGCTAGAAAAAGTTTATCCAGGATCAATACCTAGATAGTTCAAAATGAATATAACACTTCCTCCAATTGTAAAGGGTGATACCCTACCCCTTCCTAACCTATTACCAATTTTATAGGCATTTTTAGAAGGATCACGACTCAAAATATTAAAGACGAGAAAAAATGCTAGGAGAAGCAAAACTATTATAGGCAAACATCTTGTTCTCTCTGGGTAACAAAACAAACTAATCACCTGTTCATGTACTACACAACCTTGCATGATCTCAACTATAATAACTACTGCCAAATCCTTATGGCATAAAAAAACAAAAAACAGTCTTATACTTTTAAATAGTATCAATAAAATTATGGAGCAAATCTCACCAGTCTCAATTCTCAAGCCCTACATACAAATAAATTCTATTACATCAATTGACCAAGCAATAATGCCACAACATATCCATATTATTCAGACCACCAATGGATACCTAACAATGAATAAGAACACAAATGTCCTGTATGAAAACAAATCTCAATCGCACAATGAATTCTGGACTTTATTAATAATGAAACTATATGAGATCAATCACTACTTCACTATCAAATACCATTTAATTAATGTGCCAAATCTGATCCTACCTACTTACTCAAACAGAAAAGTTAGAATTTTCTATAATGCTTATATAGATAAGATAAATATTTTAAAAAAAACAAAATTCTTAAACATTCAATTTAATAAAATAGAGAATAACGAACAAATAACCCCTACCTTGGTTTTTCAAGCACTACCAAGAATCCATCGCAAAAACTTCAATGGTTTTCCTTTAATTAATTATTTCATCAAACCCAGCATCACTGAATGGCTAAAATCCATCAATCACAACAAAAACCTATTTCTCATTAATGCAAGTCAAAATTGTATCTACAAGCCCATATCCATCAAAGACTACATATTTTTAAAAAAAGCAAATATGGAACTATGGCCAGAGGATAAAGTCAAATTTAGAACCTTGGTCACCTTTAGAATCAAATTACTATTTAACTCTCTTCCAACAAGGCACAAATTTCATAAAAGGTATTCCTTAACATATCCTGATCAAAAATATCCAAGATGTGGTTATGAAATCGAAAACATAATATAAATGATTGAATGCTCCAAAAGCAAGGAAATGATTCACAAAGCTATCCCCAAATTAAATAAACTAATCAACCAGTCTCAAAAGAAGAGATATGTCGAAATTGCTACATTAGGAAAAAATTTCTTATCAAACACAAAAGGAAGCATCTTATTTCTAATAGTTCTAACCATATCTAATGAGTATCTGAATGATATTACCAGCAACAAATTAAAAATCAAAATTGTCAACAAATCCCATAAAGTTTTATACAAAATCTGAAAATAATATTCAGCCACAGCAACAACATCTCCATAGACTAGTATTAAATGGAAAAAGAACAAAGTGAATAAAAACAGTCTCCCAAAAAAAAGAAAACAACAACAATCATAACCATAATTACAATATATTTAATAGTATCTTAGATATAATAAAAACTAATAACAACTCCACAAATCTATCAATTTTTACACACACTGTAATTTTATCATTTTTGAATAGGTATTAGTCATTCAACCTTGCTCTGGCATCCCTAGTCACAGACTGTAAGGGTGTCATAACAAAATAATCGCAATAGGCTATAGTTAACTTACTATATATGTAAAGACTATTAATGTATTATTTATGAATTGAGTTTCTAATAAAAACCTGTATTTAGTGCTCATTTGTGATAAAAAAAAAAAATTTATATTATATTAAATAATTATAATTATAATTATTTTTAGTTAAGAAATTTATTGAAATATTAGAATAAATATTTAAAATCAATTTAATATTCTAGTTGATTTATAAATAATATAATTAATAATTTATATTACTATAATATATATTATTAAAAGGTTTATTAAATTGAATATATATTTTAAAAAAGATTTCAGAATATAAAAAATAAGAAAAAATATTAATATAAAGTAAAAAATCAACATTAAAATCAAAAAATTAAAAATTATTAAATAAAAAAATTATTAATATATTAAAATAGTGAGAAATATAAAACTAAAAAATATGTATATTAATAGATAAAATTTATTAAAACAATTAAAATAAATTGTAAAAAAGTCAAGTCAAGTTTATAATAAAAAAAAAAAGGAAATAAATAAGTGAAAAAAAAAAATAAAATAATTTAGTCAAATAATTTTGTAATTTTATAATAAATTTTATAAAATTTATTAACTTTTAAATTTTAAAATTTGTTAATTTATTTTAATATTTTTATAATCAATTTTTTATTCGATATCAATATTTATATAATATTTGTAATTTTTTGTTAAATTTTTTGTTTCAAAATTTTTTTATATTATATCAATTTTTTATTAAATTATTATTAAATTTTTTTACTATAATATATCAAATTTGATTTTAATTTATTGTTTAATTTTAATTGTTAATTTTTTATAAAATATTAATTTATTTTATATTTTAAGTAGCAGTAATAAAAAAAGATTTATTACTATTTTTGTTGATAAATTTAATCAAATTTAATTATAATTTTTATATATAATTAAGTTTTTTTATTACTTATAAACTTAATTAAGTATTAAAACACTATATTTTAGTAAAATATTAATTACTTATTTTGTGTAATATTATAAATTTTATAAAAAATTTATTTAATATTTTGTAAACTTTTTTTAATTATTAATAATATTTTTTAAAGCTTTAATTAAAGTTTAAAAAATTTATTTACTTTAAAAATTAATATATTTTATATTAACAACTTATAATTTTATAATATAGTATATCCCCAAATAAAAAAATTGATACAAAAATATATTATTTATTAATTTTAGTAAGAATATTTTAGATAAATTCGAAATAATTAAAAGATAAAATAGTTTTTTATAATGCTATAAATTATAAAAAAAAGACTTATACTAATAACTCTAGAATAATTTTGAGATCAACTAAATAGAATAAATAGATTCTTTCAGATTGATTGAACTTTTTATCAGTTTATACCTTGCTTATCCTATTGTAATATAGCAAATTTTGGATTTAACTAGATTAAATTGTTTAAACTAGTAGTGAAAATTTTTATTTATAAGTTTTTTCAAGTGTATTAGTTCCTTTTTTATGTAAAAAGAAAGTCTTATTGGACTAAATAGATATAAATTAAATTAATTTAGCTATAGAAATATATATTGAAATCTTTATATATACTAATAAAGAATTGTAATTAATAAAGTATAGCATATATATTTATTAGTTAAATTTTTTAAAATATATATATAGATTGTATTAATCAATTATTTTTAATAAAAATTGTGACCTGTGGGTCAATAGTGTAATGGGTGCACTCCCAGTTCACTATCTGTGAGCTACTAATTCAATTTTACTTATGAATGGTTCTCATAATATAGATTATATTATACAAGATGTATGTTTAAAAGCCACATGCACTCCTGTATACAATGAATTATCAGATTCCACTGCTTAACCACGGTGTCATAAATTAGGCCATATAGGTTATAGCTGGTTTTAGTACCTAACCACAACAATAACATTGTGCCAATTGAAATATATAAAGACTGAAGAAATAAACCAATTGATCTATTCGATGATTTAGATGCCGATATTTACTTCTTCTCAAAAAATTCACATGTGAAAGACTGGGAGATCTCAGTCATTTGCACTAGTCAAAAGAATAATGGGCTGGACATATATTGGGAGATATATGTTATCAATCACCAATGGCTACCACAAAAAGATGACCTATCTAATCAAGATCAAGTGATATTAAATCAAGACTCATGATGGAAAAATGTAGGGGTAGACCCTGGAAGAAGAAATTCAGAAACAATTATTAAGGTAACCAATCCAATGGATGGAGACAATCTGTTATAAAGTAATTAAGAGAAACTCCTGAAAGACCATATTTGAAGAATAGTTAAAAATGGTTAAATGGAAGATGAAAATCGAATGTGGAGCACCATTCAATCACTGGAATCATACATTAAATCATAGGTTTGGATAATAATCAGTAACCCTTGCAGTCTAAATATGGTACAATGTTTATATCAGAACACAAAAAAAAGTTCAATACCCTTACAATGATAACAAATTCCAGCCCCTTGATAATAAATAATAATACAAGTCTGTGATGGATCCCTGCGAACATCACTGTCTGGCAGAGCAGAGCATACTGATATAATGATACCTTGCAGATAAAATTAAGTGGGTTTATAAGATATGAGGTTAGATAGCACTAAAATTAGTTACACGAATTGCTCATGTAATCATATGTACTATTCAATCTTGACTCTAATAAACTTCGTCAGTTATGACTTAAAAAAAATAAAAATAAAAATTATATCATTTAAAAATTTAAAATCAAATAAAATAGACAAAAAATTCTTAGAAACTATGAAAATAAAGAATTAAAACTATTGATAAAGGAAAAAATAAATTTTTACTATACAGTATATCATCTTTATGATAATTTTTTAAATATTTTACAATTAGTTTTTTTCTTTTAAAAGATTTCTTGATATTAATAAAAAAGAAATTATGACTTTTTTTTGACTTCCGGAAATTAAGTTTAAAATCAAAGAGAATTGTAAACTCAATGTAGATAGTATTAGTAACTTTTGAAGAAATTCTTTAAGTTGTTTAAAAAATAATTAGCAAATTGACAGAATGAATTTTTTTTTATTTTTAAAACTTATTAAAAAAATAAATAATCCATAACACAAATATGATAATGAATTTATTAAAAATTTTTAAATTTTATCATAATATTTATATGTACAATAAGAATGAGAAAGTTAAAATAAAAAATAAAAGTAAATAAGAATAAAAGCAGACAAACAAACGAGAATTTTACACGTATATTTAATGAAACTTTCACATAGAGTTTCTTCTATTTAAATTTATCCTTATAGGAAAAGTCGATATTCCTAAATTACGAATTGATCGGGATGTGCTAAACTCATCTTCAACTAATGGTGGGACATACTTTATCCCTCGACGAAGGAAATTCTTTGCTCGGCATAAACATTCAATCACATTAATCAGGGATAATAGGCAGGATGATATTAATAGGAGAAACGGTATTAGGTAATATGCTACGATGGACTTGCAATAAACGATCTATTTATTAAGAAATAAAAGATTAATAGCCTGATAAAAACAAAGTCACGAAGATTATAACTCACTTGAATAATTAACTGCGGAATATTATTAACAAAAATGTTAATGCACGATCCCCAAAATATTTTAGACAACGCATTTTTAGAAAATGGAACGAATTCTCCAAAATTTGATTGCAAGATCATAAAAGCCTTAACATCCACTATCGCAACAATTAGTATCATTGTCGAAAATCCACTATTTCTATTAGCCCATTTATAAAACTTTGGATTATGACTTTCTTTGATTATAATGTAAACAGTTAAAGTGGCATTCATGCTTAGTGGAACTACCAGAAATATTACACTTTAACGGTCGGATATTATTATTATTATTATTATTATTATTATTATTATTATTATTAATTTTCAATAAATAAATAAATAAATAAATAAAATTAGTTTCTAATATAAGCGTGAATACCTTTTGTCCTTAAAAGCACAAATTATACCTTGGTATGAAGAGTGATGGTATATCATGCGAGTTTTCCGCGACGAAAGAAACCGTGAGAGAAAAATTGATTATAATAGAGCTTGCCTGAAATATCGCAAAAGGTTTGTGCTATACAATATTGAAAATTTGTTAAAAACTTGGTTGTAGCTTAACAACTGCTCAAAAAAGTTCAAAACTTACTCTTGGGTCTCTTTTATGCACGAATAAGACTATAAATGCGCATGATAAAATGATTACAAGTATACTGATTAATGATATTTTATACGCCTCCCATAGATTTGCTGCATCATATACAATAAAATTAAACGTTAATTGGCTGTAAAAATATGCAATAATGCATTGAAAACAACTTACGGACTGGTCTGAAACCAAAATTCGGGTCCAGATCATTTGTTTTGGAACCATAGGAGATACTGGTAACTTGTTTGTTTTTAATCATGAAGTTTAAATCGGCGAAAACTCCCGAAACATTTCTCTCATTTCTATTATTTTTTGGCTTGTTCACATAAACGGAAATAAATATTTGTTCAGATGGGGTTTCCGCATTAATATGCTGGTAATTCCCATTTGAACTTAGTCGAGATAGTCGAACTGGTACCATGATAGAAATTTCGCCTAGTAGTTCGGAAATATATGTCGATTTCTCGGATTTATTAAGTCTCAGGAATGTCGATGTGGCATTTGCAGTAAGGTAGAGTGTACCGCTAACCGCGTCTGCAAGAAGAGTTAAAATAAAATTTTGAATAAATAAATAAATAGGCATGCATATAAATACAGTAAGTGCCATAGTAACATACGATACCTGAAAATTTCCCCTCTTCAGAATTATCTAATGATTCAATATTCGACAATATAATAAACTTTTAATAAATGCAGGATCAAAATGAATGTTAGATAATTGGGATACGTTACTTCCTGCTATAAGGGTCCAAGTATGACTTCCAATCCCTTTCAAGGGCTCATCAAACTTACTACTCTTTACAAAATTAATATCCATTTGAATGTAATATTGTTCCCCTGGTTGATTGAACACGCTACTAATCACATTTACAGTAACTGTCATCGAATCTAGACTAACGCTGCAAAAGTTGTTCATTGATCCAGAAACCACTTGTCGAAGGTTGTTAGTAGTAGTGTGATAGATAGAAATGTTGGCACTCGATAACTCAACTTGATCGTTAAAGGTGATGTTAATGCTAGTGTCGGTAAATGGTTCAACAGTGCCGTCAATCCCAGGATTAGTAGAATTTATTTCGAGATTTCCGTAACCGCCATCTAAAATGGTAAGGATAAATTGATAAATTGTACGTAATCCAAACGAGCGTTGATTTAAGCTTACCCAAATCGGGACGAACTTTAGGTAATTGATATGTGTACAAAGTCCAAGAAGCATTTTGTCCGGGAATAGCAACTAGTAAAGTATTATTGCTCATAATATTACTCGTACCAAATTGATTTGTAACAATGGGTCCTAGTTCCAGAATTTGTGTTTCGTTGTCGTCATACGCGTATAGAGTGAAATAACTATTGTTGGTACTAACGTCATAAAATGAATGTCTAAACGTGTAACCACCAAAGGGCATCGTGTCCATGGTCCCTAGCGTAATAATAATACTCATATTGAAGTTGTTCGGCCCCTGAGAGATTTTTATCACCTCCCCTGATGATAGGAAATAAACATTTTGATATACAGGTATTGTACTATTTTCTAGATAAACATTGGTTAAAAATGTACACACTTGACCGATACCAACAGACACTAGACCACAATAAACATTATGGGGCACTATCGAATCAGGAGAAATCATTTCGTATAAAACATAGGGTTGACTGGCGTGATTTTGGGTTGGGGGTAGAAAGACAGCATGCATTATGTTGTATGGTACAATTCCATCGGTTTTGTAGGAATTCGAATTGAAAAGTGAATAGTAAATTATAGCATAACCTTCATCAACAGTGTAGATTACTGAACTGCGTTCTATCCTTGTCTCTAGAGTACCATTATGCAACATTATCAATTGTCCGGAATCATTTCTGATATTGTAATCATATTATGAATTGAAAAAGAAAAGAAAAACCAGTTAACGATTAAGAAAAATTTTAAAATATCATATCTGAAATAAATTTACAGTACATCGAATATTTCTGCCATTCGATATAGCTATCATTGTTCTTTATAGGCGATAATCTAATAAATCCCAGTTCCTTATTTATGTTCGTTGTGAGTGAATAAGTTGGAGCCCAAGTATTTTGTGATACATAAGACGGGCCAAATCTTAAACCGCTATAATAAATAGTTACCATTAAATTTTACACCAGGTAAAGCCCTTTATTACGTACAAAAAAAGAATAATAATACCTATAGATGTTTCCTGACCAATCAATGATCCTTCCCCAATCCTCATATGTTTCAATATCCGAAGAATTCGTAGTGTTCATGTAACACAATAGGACAAATCCATTCTTTAGTGGGTATATGTTAATGGTGTCTATGACTTCACCATTATAATTATCAAGTGTACAATAATTCACAGATTCTAGATTTAAATCATCGTTATTGATGTTAATCTCTATGACGGTCTCATTCGGAGAAATAACTCTTAAAGATAACATATGCTCGACGCAAATTTGATTATCTGGATTCTGTCGTACGACACGAACGAGCACTGTTCCATCATCATAATTTTTAATGTCCGTTATGATAGGTATTACATGGGAGAAGTTTGTTTTTGTTATATCCTCGGTATAGGTAAAGTTTTTATAATTTTGAGACATTATTAGCTCCGTGAGCAAGCAAAGGGATATTATGAGTAGACGTAGAAAAACAGGGTAATGGGAAGGGTGATGAAAGCTTCTCATAGCAAATTACCTTTGTGAAAGGGAGAATTTTTCAAGTGGGTAATAACAATGTTGCGTTTGTTATATAAATACGTTGTAGATAAATTAATTTTGAATGATGGATGGTTACAAAGTTTTTGTTCTTTGAGCTCATTTTAAACACTCGATCGATTAACCTTATGTTACGAGTCGAACGTCGAGCCTGTCGCGTCGTGTGACGTTTCACCGCCTCGACGCATTCCCGGAAGGCAAAACTGATAAGATTGATCACATGCTCAAGCTTAGATAAGGAACCTTTGATTGGGTTACTACAGTAATCGCTTAATCAAAAAAAAAAATAAAAATAAAAATAAAGAGACGAAGTTGCAAGATGTAAAAGATGCTATATATATAGTCCTAAAAATATTAATATTTTCACACTTATTCTTACGTAAAAATAACAGGGTTGGCGGTACTGCGCGACGAAACTAATGCGTTCCGGAAAAAAAAAAGACAATCCGTACTTCTAGTGATTGTGATGCCATTCCTTCGCTAGTAAAATAGAATTTCCTGTTTAAACAGGATGAGAATTAAATGGCGTATTATGAATTCGGAAGTTCGTAAAACTCATTTTAAATAAACAAACTAAAAAGGAAAACTTATACCAGATTTGGTTTTTTGTTATTGGAATGTGCTTTTAGAGTCCAAATAAGTTTTTCGTGGAAGATTGATATTAAAAAATCTTTGGTTCAATCTTTTTCAAAATAGCTTCTTAATTTATATCTAAATTTAAATTTTCTGATAGGCTATCAAAGTTTGCAGACTGTTTTTTGAAGACTTTTTAATAATTTCTTTATATTTCATTTTTGATATTATTATTATTATTATTATTAGTACTGTACTATATCTTTAAATAATTACACTAAGAATTTGTATATTAAATATTTCAATACTTCTACTTTTTTAAAAAGTATGGTTAACTTGAAAGCTTTTCTAAACTTGATGAATATAGTTCTTGTTTAGATTGTTTCTCTTATTGTGATATTATTTCTTAATTGAAAGTTTGTTAATAAAATTGTTCTGCAAAACAAATTTTACTTGTTTGATTTTCTTTTCCATTCTTTCTAATACTTTTTTATAAAGATTTTATCTTTATTTTAAGTTTGTAATGCAATAATTATATCAATATTTTAGAGTTAATTCTTTAATAATCTTTTAATAGACAGATAGTTCAATCTCATTTTATTAAACTTTCAAATATTTATATAAAACAAATTACAAGAAATTTTATTAACAAAATATTCTTAATATACAGTATATAAATCCTTCTAGATTTTCCAAAATGAAGTACACCCTTGAATTATATTATTCCAAATTAAAAAAAATAAAAAACAGATTTAAAAAAATAAAAAATTTAACAACTATTATTATATTTCAACTTTGCCACTTTATTTTTTTTCAAATCTTTGATTATTTATCAAAACTTAAAAAAGCCTATTTGATAAGTAGAAGTAAGTGACTATAATATTAAAACAGTTGTAACATCTTGTAAACTTTATTATGATTGGATGGATTCTTTTAAAAAAAATTAATAATTTAATAAATACATATCTTATATTAATTTATAAATAATTTATAGTAAACTTTGTGTTTTTATAAAAATTAAGAAAATATATTCAACATATAAAATAATCCATAGAAACTTGTTTATTTCTTTTATTGATATATATTCTATTATTCAATTACTATATAAAAACTTTATATAAAAAATCAAGAATGAATACTATTAAAGTCAAAGCAATAATAAAAGAATAAAAATATTTTTATATTTAGTCTCTTATTATAAATATAACTTTATGATATTTTTATATTTAGTTTCTTATTATAAATATAACTTTATGATATTTCTCTAATAAGTGCATAAATAGTATACTTTGATTTTCTTTTCTTTGGAAATTTTTTACTATAAATAAAAAAAGTATTGTTTTGCTTTTGCTTTACTTTTAGATTATTAGATTTTAAGTTTTTGTTTAAAAAAAGTATTAATAAAAGAGAGATAAAGTAGTGATAACTTTAAAAAAATTATAATTCCATTCTTTATACTAATCCCTTAACAACACACAAAAAAAATATTTGCAAAAAAGATTTATATTTTTCTAATAATAAAGTCTTATTACTTTTCTTAAAACAACTTAAAGGATAATTTCAAGAGTCTTTCCCTTTTACTCTCTCTTGTTTATATTCCTTTTCAAACAAAAACTTACTTAATTTCTGATAATCAAGAAAAGTCAAGAAATATTTTTTTTACATATAACAAAAAAGTTTTAAAAGGAAAAAAAATCAATAAAAAATACTGAAAACCTATCTTTTGAAGCTAGAGTATAACTAAAGGTCTTATGCAATAGATGGATAGATGAATAGAAACCTAAATTATAAAACATTTCTTACCACTATTTTTATCCTCTTAGAGTTACCCATTTTTCAAAGTTTTAAGAATTTTATCTATCCTAGCTTGACTTTTGATTTTAGAGTGACACAAATCTATATAGCTTTTGTTAAAGATAATTGATTAATACAAAACACATTGATAATAGAATATAAATAAGCTTTTATTAGTTACATTATATATTGAGAGTATGAAAAGAAAAAAAACTCTTTCCGCTGATCTTCTGACCACATACAAAAAAGATGTTCGCAAGAAGTTTTTATACTTCTTTGCTAATAAAGTCTTAATACTTTTATTAAAACAACTTGAAGTATGACTTCAAGAATTGCCTCTACTTTTTTCCTTTTGTTTACAAACCTCTTCACTCAAAAACCTGACTTCTAGTGACCAAGAAAAATCAAGTAACACCTTTGATACCAACGGCAAGAAAGTTCCCAAAGGAAGAAGAACTGACTGTAAGTACCTAAAGGCCTTTTTAATCTTTAAAGCGAGAGGTATATAGAGGTTTTTGATGATAGAAGGACTTATTTTTCCCCTTCCAGTCACTGTTGGGCCTCTTAGAGCTATCGCTTTCATGGTTTTCTGACTAAATTTTGCCTACCTCAGTTTGATCCTAAATTTTTGATAGCACAAATTCTCACCAAAGGTGATTGGTTGACACAAAACATGTTAGTTTTTGGAATGTAAATAAGCTCCTATTGGTTACAATCACGTATTCTGATAATGTCATTGGTAATCAGAAAGAAGGTTCTGGAAACGAATGCCCTCAAAAAGTTCAAATCCCTCAATAAAAACTTCTATAACATCAAAAAACCAAGTGATGGGTAATGTGGATTGCCAACTCTCGTCTCTTACCTAAGTTCCTCAAGTGGTGACAAAACTTTAATGGAAAAAAGCTGAGGTCTAAATGCTTTTCTTGAGATATCCCAATATGATGTTCACTTAAATAAAAGACTAATTGGATTGACTTGTCCGATGCCCCAGGTGATGAAAAAGAAGATTTCTTCTGAAGTTCAAGTGAAGCAAGAAGACTATACCAATCAGGCAGATCCCTTTTGAGAAGAGGTTATTTTTATTTTTGGATTTTTTTGGTGAGCCTTGAATTGTCCCCTTTTCCAAATCATTCTTCCTCTTTTCCCTTTTAACTTAGCAATTCATTGATTTTCGGGCAATCAGCGATAACAAACTATTGGCAATGATTCTGGTAGATAGAGGTTATTACCAATCTATTAGGGGAGTGAAATATTGTCCCCAAAATCTAACTTAGAGTACTTTTGTATGAAGATGAGTTAGTCACTTTGTGAAAGTCTGTAAAATATTGTAAATTCATTTTCAATTTTTCAATAAAGACATGCCATTGTGACATAATTGCGAGTTAAAAAAAAAAAAATTAGTTACATTATATATTTTAATGATATTATTGATAAAAGAAGGAAAAATCACTAGTACTAACTTCCTTATTCTTTAAATAAAGTATAACAGAAGCAAAGAAATTATGAGACTATTATAATAAACACTAAATTCTTTAATTGATAAAAAGAAAATTATTTGTTTGAATCAAAACTTTCAAATTCTTATTATTTTAATTAGACAAAGTATATGAAGAAG